CTCTTGTTCTTTGAAAGATGTGTAACAAACCTGACTTTCTAAGACAACAGGCCTCCATGCCCCACAGTAGAACACAAATCAGTCAGTGTCAATAGGGAACTTAAGCACAAATTACCATCTAATTTGTAAGCAAATGAAGACATCCTAGAGTGTCATAGCAGTTACATATTTCAAGCATATAATGAAAGACCTCAGAAAAGATTGCATCGAAGAACAATGTTTTTGTTTCACATTAGCAGGAGAATGACTGACAGAGCAAAAAAAGCAGTAAAATATAGGGGATGATAATGATCCAAAGCCCATGTACCTAGGTCAGCAGACCTGAGCACAGCCCTGAAGAAGTACTTTTAAGCAAAACCTAAACTGCATTGGAACAAAGTACATGGCTGATACATGACCCTGCAGTAAGCAAGGCAAATAAGAGTTTGAAGTTTGAAGAGTTATTAGTGACCTTGTCATATGCAGTTATGCCATGCGTATGCCAGGATCCGAACATAACAAGAATCTCACTGGTCAATGACTCCCAGTGCTTCTGATTTTTCTGCAAGTTTTGCAAATATCACATAATAGCAAACAACACCAACAGGAATCCAGAGATTGCATTACATAGAACCAAAAAATCACAAAGAGAAGACAAGTACAACCATGACGGTGTGAGGGGAGAGAATGGATTTCTGGAGCTGTTAAAGTTTGGCTCCAGCAGGTCAAGAAGGCTTTCACACAGAACACAAAATAGTGAGAGAAGTTATAAACAATATGCAATGAAGACTGTTTATATTTTCTGAAAGAAGTATTAAATTGTGCATTCCCCAAAACCATCATCTTGGAAACACCTCCAAACCAGACTTCATGCCTTTTGTTAGTGCTAAGAGAGGATTTTCCCTGGGTCTGTTAATAAGTCACTAAACTGCTCTGATGGTCATGTTGGAGGCAGTTAATACTTTTCCTTCTTCATCCAGAGGTGAAAACAAATAGTATGAAAGCATCCCTTATTAAGACAGTCAGTTATTATATGTGTATTAGAATTTATGTTACATTGAAGCAGATTCACAGTAACCAAATGACGAAATCAGGGGAGTACTGACATACAGGGAGATGGCTAAGTCACTACAAGTTTCTCAAATGTTAGTTGCAGGTGTTTGCCTACAAGTAACTATATTCTTTAAGAATCCCTGAATCCTCACTTGTTAAATTAACTGCTTGCAAAATAAGGAACTATTCTTGGCATGTTGCTCCAGGCAGCATCAAGTGTGCACTAGGGATCTTCTGCAACCAAAACCCAGGCAGGACTTTGATAACAGTGGTCTTTGGATTAGGAACAATTTAAGGTACCTGACCGCTGCTGTGGCCCTAAGTCACTTACTCAACAGTATTTGAAGACAATGGAAACTGAGTTTTCACTTATATGCTAGAATTCTGTGCTCAGAGTATCCTTCTGTGACTGAATGGAAGCTGAATTTACCAGGTTAATAATCTAGAAAATATATGTGGAACACTATCCCTGACTATCTTAAAGCAGAAATAGGTATTTATTAAGACTCTTCGTCTTTTTTTCTGAGAATGACTTCATTCTATACATTCTATACATTCTATACATTCTATACATTCATCATCCTTAAGTGTGTTTTCTTTTTCTTTTTCTTTTTCTTTTTCTTTTTCTTTTTCTTTTTCTTTTTCTTTTTCTTTTTCTTTTCTCTTCCCTTTTTTTTTTTAAATAAGTATTTTGGGAAGGAGAGGGAGGAAAGGAAGAGAAGGACATCAGTTCCCTTTCCAAGTCGTTTTCCAAATATATATTTTATTTTTCTGTATATAAAATTTTGATCAACTTGTAGCATCCATTTTGCCTGACGCTGACAGTCCTTTCTGTTATATAAGGGAGAAAACTGAGAATTATTGTATTTGTCCATGGACACCTATAGTCTTTCCATGACTTCACTCTGCAGAAGTTCCTGGGTTTGGATAACACAAAGTTTAGGAGAAGGAAAACATAAGGAGAGGGAGTCCATCTGCTAGTAACAAGAGATTCCCTTGATGATATTTGCAATTGGAAATCCAAAAAAGAGTTAATGCCTGCTTCAAAGCCTGAGGGACAGATAACTAACTTCACTTTTACTCTACCTGGCCACAAACCAGAGCTGCTGCCTTCTTATTATGTGGCAGCCAGTAAGAATTGGGTCTAAACTGCACCCTAGCTTTCCTCATTTCTGTGAATCAAAGAATCACTAAATACCTACCTATGTCTAGACACAAAAACTTCTATTCTTATTGACATGTGACATTATTCCAAAAAAGAACTCACATCTCCACAGGCAATGTGATTCCCAGAGAGCTCCATGTCACTGCACTGAGAGACATGATTTACTATACACAGTTATGAGGTAATTAATACTCATTACTTATTGTTAATTAATTAATAATATTAATTAATATTTATTACTTATTATTTTATTATGTGTTTATTTTGGAGGGGCAATAGACTATCTGCAAAACTCATTTTCATGCTGTTTTATATATTTGACTTGTCTTAGCTTGAAAATTACCACATTTATTCTGCAGGCAATGGGAATGGGTCTTGTTCGGTTTGAAAAAAATACGTCCTATTGTCCCAGGTACCAAATTCCAACTGAGAAACAGCAAAGGAAGTTACTTTTCCCATTTATTTCATTAAGAAAGCAAAATACATGTTTTATCCAGCTTTGACAAGTTCCTAAAAAAACAGACTATAAAGCTGTAGTTTTTCCATGAATTCCATCCTTTCAGAAGTCTGTGCAGTCACAAAACCCGTATGAAGTAAACGGGCATCCGTCTATTCAAAGTTCATAGTCCAAGTGCAGGGGTTGGTTTATGATCTCTTTTCAATTTGTTTCACTGGCATTGTCCACTGTCTAATGGATAGGATATTTGGTCACAAACCAAGGAAATAAACTAGTTAGAACTGAAGCACTGCACACTCCTGACTGGTATACATTGTTGATTTTGCATTGTGGGTTTTGGTTTTTTGTTTGGTTGGTTAGTTGGTTGGGTTGGTTGGTTGGGTTGGTTGGTTAGTTAGTTGGTTGGGTTGGGTTGGTTGGTTGGTTGGGTTGGTTGGTGGGGGCTTTTTGCTTTGCTTTGCTTTATTTTTGGGATGGGTGGTTGTGGGTTTCTTTGTGGTTTTTTTATATAAGAGATTCTTTTAACAAAAGCTTGTGTGCTCTTTTTTTTCCATTATTTAAATGCAAAACCTTGTTTCCCTAAATAAAGTACTTTCCATTTAGAGGTAGAGTGGTAGAAAGTGAAATACTTGATTAATATATTCCTTGGCAATTTCCCACCAGCACAGAGATTGTTTTTCATAATAATCTTTTCCCTCAATAACTCTTAGTAGAGGTTCCCATTAAAGCTGCCATGGCTGAGCCCTGGCAGTCCTCAAGAGCAGTTGGTTTTACAATGCTTCTTTAGGCATGTAAATGAAGTTGTTTTAACTATATTTTGCTTTATTCCTTAAGGAAAAAAATTAGAAGTTGACTGCATTTAAAAATCTGAACAGTGACTATCATCCCATTGACTTCAAAATTTTTATGGGTCTAATTTTCTCATTCCATTTCCTTTCAATATTTTGTAGTCATACTAAATTAATTTTGAAATTAAACAACATCTAGAAAGGGTTAAAAGGGTTTTTCCTGCCTTTCTTAGGCGATACACATCTTGAGACTTCATGATGGGTCTCTCATTTGTTAAAACACATCTTTATTACATCTTTCAGCTAACATGAAAAGGTGCAAGCATTTTGGTACACTAAAAGCTTTTTGCTGTGTTGAGCTCAGAGGAATAAACAGACTTGAATCTACCAGTGATGCTCTTAAAAAGTAATTACTAAGGCGCTTTCTGGAGGGATTAGTGCCATTTAATATGCTGATTAATCATCTTCTAAATAATGAATTTGTAGAATCAAAAGTAGTTAATTCCTGAAGTGTGTTTAATACAAACAGTGAAATGTGTTCTGTAAAAACAGAATTCTTTTCAGCAAGGAAGAAGTGCTTGGTAATACCTGCATTGCCTACCTATTCTGTGCGGCTGAATATTTCATTTAAGGGTTTTCTTATTCTGTTAGCAACAGGCAACAAACACCACATGGACTTCAGTGAGAGCTCGGTCGGACTGCTCTGCCTGCAGAGGGCACCACAGGGATCCGACGCCCCCGCTGCGAGTGGGCTGGCACCGAGCAACGCTGCTCACTCTTAATGCCCCAGCACCTCTGTGGCCCCCACCCCGGGGAGTAAGAGCTGATCAGGAGGCTCCTGTAGCTCTAATTACTGATAGAAAACATTGGAAAGGACTGCTGAAAGCTTCTTATGACCTCTCACTTGAAGGCAACCTCAAAAAGCAAAGAAATAGCAGATAAATACATAAAAGCCCAATTAGAAATATTATTTAATCTAACATAGGAGTGATTTGCCTGTTTCTTAAAAGCAAACATAATTTGCAAAGGCTTCTTAAACGGCTTGTCACACCCACGTCTTCACATTAATTTAATGGAAGTGTCATGTGTCCTGCTGGGTGAAACAGATTCCAATCTTTCCCCTGTGCTGCAGCTAAAGCAGGGCACTTCCCTGGTCTATCACTTGTACACCTACGTTTGTCTGAATCTTCTTGCATTCTAAGTAGTCTCCTTTATTGCAATCTAATTTTCAAAGTACACTTCACTATATATATATATGGATTTAACATGTTGTACAAATAATCTCCAGAAAACACCATGCTCATCTCTTTTGTGACTTTAGACACAGAAGTAGACTGCTGGAATTAAAAGACCCTCACACTATTAAAATTAAACAGCTCTACAATTGTTTGCAGAATGAAGGCCTACATTACTTCTTGTCTCTATTTCTAGTATCTACAAGTTGCATTTATTATTTGCTATCCTTTTTGCATTAACGGTCTTTACTAATTATAAATATCTATAAAACCCTTTTTTAACCCATTCTTTAAAGATGAAAATTAAAACAAGGAAGACAAACCTTGGCATCAGGAGCTGGACTTTGATGATCCTTTTGGGTCCCTTCCAACTCAAGATGACATTCTAATTCTATGATCCTACAGGATATTTTTAATCAGTGTCTCTCCAACCCTTTGTTGGTCTTTACTGAAGTTCGCAGCTGAAAAGCTGATCTGTGACACATCAGTTAGGAAAAAACAAAATGAAACAAAAAGAAAAAAGAGAAAACAAACACAAAAAAACCCTACTGCATCAGATTTAGTCACACAGTATAGTGAGCACTCTATTACTTTACCAGAACAGACCAAATTTGTTCCCCAAACAATTCACCAAATCCATAGCAGCTGTGACTGCATTAAGGTCACTGGTAGACAATATGAGATAACACTATTAACTGTGGGACTGAACAGGGTCTTTCTGATGATGAGAAATGCCTAGCCTTTTCTTTCATGTGGAGAAATACCAGCTTTTTTAAACCATGCAATAAAACATCCTTTAGCTGCAGTGTTATCCTCCTTACTTCATGGTTTGTTTTTGTTTTTTTACTGTATGTGTAGCAGTAACACATATTCCAAGTTTAGCATCAAAGAGATTCAAAGTTGCAGTTGTATAACAATTTGGTGAGTTCGGAAGAGAGAAGCAAAGGTTTCTCATCTGGGAACTTCTAATGCCTCAGCCAGGAGGATGTTTCTATCAACACTGCAAATCACAGAAATCTGTAGGGTGCAGCAGGATTTGCAAGTTTTCCTGCCAGGCTGTTGAGCCTGAGGCTGACAGAGATAGTCTCAGTTGAAAGCTGCACTAGCTGTGCTTGGAACCTGCTGTACTTGTGACAAAAACACATGCAGTACATGAAGTTAAGTATCATGTGCACAGAAAGTTAAAGCACATATATTTATATGTATATATAAATTTTACAGGTGCAATATACAAATGGGTGTCTGAGCATTCAAATCAAGAAACCAGGACAAAATCAAGCATTTAAGAACTGTAGCATGCATGTAAATATTGTGGCTTTAGACAAGTTTTAGACAGCTCTAGGAATGGAAGAACTTGAAGTCTAAGCCCTGATACATGTTGTCAGGTTTGTTTTCAACTATTTTTCAAATTTTGAGCCCCTACACTACTGGCATAATGAATGTCTGCCAGGCTTATGAAAATGAGCTTGTTTTTCTCGTACTGCGGGTTCCATGATCATTAGTACCACACCTGTGCATTACTGCAGTAAATGGAAGTGCTCATTGGAGACAGATCAGGTTTGAATACACAACTACATTCTGCCAAACCGGACAGCAGGATTTTTAATGCTGTCTTTAGGATCTTATACTAGCTTTTTTGAGCTACTAATCGATCCACTCTGTTCTTGCATAAAGCAAAGCCAGGGGAGACAACATTTGAAACAGCAAGGCTTCACAATCAAAGATGTCTATGGAAAAAATATTTAATTCATTTGAAGAGGCAAAGTGAGGTTTTTTAAATTCAAGGGACTGTTATGTTTCTAGACTCAGACTCTAGACTCAGTGCACAAAGACTGGATTTACCACCACATTAAATGGTACTCTTTAGGGCACAATGTATTTGAAATGCTCTTTTCACTGGTAACAACCATTTAAGGTGCACCTAGGACACCTAATACCTTGCCACTGCGTTATATAATGACAGCTGGCATCATTTGTGGGACCAAATCACAAAGCAAACAAATGAACGAGGCAGGTTAAAAATAACTCTAACCAAAGTCACGATCTGGCTTCATCTAAGGCACCACAAGCAGCTGTGCTCACACCATGGAAAGGGTGGTTAGGGCAAGTCTGAGCAGGCAGTGTGCTGGATGAGAAAATCTGAAGCACTGGCTGCTTGAGAAAATGGTCTGGGGAGCCACTCACAGGGATACTTACTCTGTTTGCTCTCCACTACCTCACCCTGTCAATTTGAAAAGTTGTCTATAGGTATGGAAAGGTCCTCAGGCCACAGGCAAAATGCTGTTCAGGCACACCTGCTCTGCTGAGGGAGAAGTGCTAGAGACAGCTTAGAGAAACATGCTCAGAATGCTTGTAGCTATAATGACTTTCCCCATCCACTGTATTCGGGTCTGCTTTGTTACAAGGCGAACACTCAAGTCTAGTTCATGAAGGTGAACTGGTTAGAAAGGGTTCTCACCATCCATCTTACTGGGCTTACAGTTCTGTGTCCAAACCTCCTTAAATACATGCTTGAGTGCTCTTTAAATAAACTACATTTTTCAATAGTCCATTTCAGCTCTGAAGCAGTGTATGCTCCTAAATAAAGATGACAACAAAGGATTGTTTGTATTTGCAAAGCAGCTTCTCTGGTAGAATAATTAATTTGTGTGAACTGCTTTTACATATTTTATTATTAATTATACATTTAATTTTACCCGTTTAAGAAAATTAGAGAATGAATTATCTGGAAAGCAGTAGAATAAGTTCAAGAGATGTAAAATGCAAGAGAAGTCAGGCAGCTATACCTAGAAATTTTTAATGAAGTTCCACCCTTTTATATTTAGCTGTTGACATTTTTTAGACAATCACATTTAGTATTACCTTTGAATACTCTCTTCTTGTTGGTTTTATTTTAACATACTTCATGGTTTATTTCTCATTACATGTATTCATATATATATATGTAAAAAGACCATTTATTTATAATTTATGATATTAATTTATATACTGAAATATACACAAGGCTAAGTTTCTTTGCAAGATCTCTTTTGATCCTATTTTTAAATAGTATTATTTTACAAATAAGATGCAAGTCCAAGGGTTTAACATTGCCCCAGGAGAATTAGTCTCTGAGGAACACATTGCTCACAGCTGCAGTGAAATATCCATCACTGAAAATTTCAGCACTTTTAATTCCATCTCAGTGACATCAGTGGGATAACTGAAATACTACTCACATGTGGTACTCAGAAGGGCATGCATGATTTTATCAAAATTCTAGAAAAGTAACTGTGTTTATCATTAGCAGTATTTTCTAACAAAAAATCCGAACAAAAAATATTACTGTGGTAACATGGGGGACTTGTGGTGGATTTTTTTAAAATTATGATTAAAATAAGATGTAATTTTCCCAAAATTTAGAATGATCAGCAAACCTCCTCCTGTTTACTTTAGTTTATATCTTCTTTCTTTTAATCCCCCCACAAAATTGGGAAATTCATACCGTAGCAGTAGCTTAGCCAACCTTATAAAGCCTTTGCTGATTATAAATCACTCAAAGGATAACTCAATAATTGTCTGCAACTCAGTGAAAGCCACAGTTTCTTAATCACCACTGCCAGTCTTGTGCCCAGCCTGACCACATGTGTGATAGTACTGCTTTGATTTTGACACTGCACATGTGCGCCAAGGTACACGACATCCCACACTGTGGCACCGTGCCTTCTCATCCTCAGAGCCTCATACCCCAGATGTGGTAGGATGCTGACAGTGTTGATATGTTTCTAGAAGATTGTTTTTTCAATGCTGAGGTCAGTACCATCCAGGGAGAACTGTACACAAAACTATTTGTCTTGTGGCAGTGCTAAAGCATTGCACCCTTATATCCTATTCATTTCCTCTCCACAAGCTGAACAACAATAGAGAACACAACTGCAAGGAGAATCCCTGAACCAGAAGTTTCTACTTTGGAGATTACAGAACAGTAACAGGAAAGTGTTTGAAGAATCAACATATGCAGCTCTCTGTCCTGCTAAATATTTTCTTTGATAGACTGAAGAGAGGTTAGTGAAAGGGAGAAATTACTGAGAGGAGATGACTAGGTTTCAAACTGTGAGGGAAAACAAAAGAGGAAAAAAGTCACAACTGACAACATCAAGGAAATATATACTGAGGGTTAGCTTACCTTAGCAGAAAACCCACTTGATAAAGTTACTTAGGGTCATAAGAAGAGTCATCACCATCAGGAAATTGACAAACCTCAGTTTCCCAGTGTTCACTGGAAGCTAATGGGGTATTTGGAGGGTGACATCTCCATTTCAGAGACTTCACAGACTGTGTTACCTGAATGTCAGAGATGTATAAGAGTCCACAGAAACTTTTGATTCATACCAGAATCCCTTGAAGTTTCTCCCGATTCCATATTAACAAGATCAAAGCAAAGAGTGTGTTGCAGACCATTGTTTGCCAATCTGGCCAGCTGGTGCACAGGACTGGTGTTGGTTCCAATTTCTGCTGGGATGTAGCTGGCACCCAGCCCATTCAGATCTGCAGGCTAGTCTACGCTGCTGTTGGATGCAGACTGCTCTTTGATGCTCCAGCTCAGAAAGTCAGACTTTATTGGCAAACATAGCTATTGCAAGTAACCACTTGAACAGCTGTAGAAGTGGTGCAATGTGTGTTTGGCCAACTTCTTACCAGGATAGCACTTGCCTATTTTGTTGCGTATAATAATTGGGAAAGCAAGAGGCAGAAGACAGCAGAAGGGAAGAGCAAGTCCAGATGATACTACAGTGTGCCATGACTCACTGTTTTCCCAATGATGGCAAGGGGCTGGCTTTGTGCAAAATTTCAAGTGCTGCTTGCTGCACTGTGACACTGGGTATTCATTTTGTGAGAGCTGGAAACTCCATCCTCCTGACCTTGCTACCAGCTTTTTGCAGCCTACTTCATTCCTCTCCTTTAATATGTGACTTCCAAATGGGATATAGTGTTTCATCTCAGTCCTCACCAGAACGTTATTTCTTTCTCTCAAATGGAAAACTCCAACTGATGTAACCCCAAATGCTTCCTATGTTGTTATTGTTGACACATACTTCTTTAGTATATGATGCACCACTAGGTCTTTCTTCCATGTGGTCCCCATTTTGTACGCGATACTTCACTTATGTACATCACTTCCCTGTTGCTTTACTAGTCTTGTAAGATATAATACTTCTAATAAATCCTTAGTAGTACTCGTTGCATCAGCAGGAAACAAACTATTACAGGGGTATAATGAAATTTAAAATTACAATTCATATTTGTGATAAATTTTGCTTACTATTGTTACAATGATATTTAAGGTACTGTCCTGGGTTGATGTTGGCCAGATGCCAGGCACACACCAAAGCCACTCAGTCACTCCCCTCTGTAGCTGGACAGAGGAGAGGAAATATAACAAAGGGTTCATGGGTTGAGATAAGGACCAGGAAAAATCACTCATCAAATACCATCACAGGCAAAACAGGCTCAGCTTAGAGATACGAAGTGAAATTATTACTAACAAAATCAGAGCAGGATAATGAGAAGTAAAATATTCCCTGAAAAATGCTTTCCCCCCACCCCTCCCTCCTTGGAACTCTACCTCCCACTCCAGTGGCTCAGGGAGGCAGGGAATGGGAGTTACGGTCAGCCACCACCTGAGGCTTCTTCCACTGCTCAGGGAGAGGAGTCATTGCCTCGCTGCTCCATGGGGCTCCTCCCATGGCAGACAATTCTCCATAAACTCCTCCAATCTGAGTCCAACTCACAAGCAACAGCTCCCTGCAAATTACAGCAACATGAGTCCATCTTATGGGCAACAGTCTTCCCAAAACCACTGCAGTGTGGGTCACTCTTCTATGGGGTGCAGTCCTTAAGGACAGGCTGCTCCAGCATGGAAGCAGCGTTCTTCTCTCCACAGGCCTCCCACAGGATCACTGACTGCTTTTGGGCACCCACCTGCTCTGGTGTGGGGCTCATCCCCAAGCTGCAGGTGTATCTCTGCATCCCCATGGACCTCCATGGGCTGTAGTGGCATAGCTGCTTCACCATGGGCTGTACCATGGGCTGCAGGGGAACCTCACCTCTAGCACCTGGAGCACCTCCTGCCTTTCCTTCTTCACTGACCTTGATGTCTGCAGAGTTGTTCTTCTCATATATTATCACTCTGATCTTCTCTGGCTGAAATAAAACTATGCATAAATTTTTATCTTTCCCCTTAATATGTTAGCACAGAAGCATTATCAGCATTTCTGACTGGCCCAGCCTTGGCCAGTAGCATGTCCATTTTCTGAGCCACCAGGGTCTGGTTCTGGTTCTTCTGGACACAGAAGAAGCTTCTAGAAGCTTCTCAAAGAAGCCGCCCCTGTAGCTTCCCCACTACCAAAACCAGGCCACGCAAAACCATTATAGGTCCCCATTATAGAAAGAGATTTGAGAAATATGCTCTCATATTATTCTATTTAGCTTAATGTGTATGTTTGAAAGCAGACATTTAGAATCATCTGAAAAAACAGGGTCTAAACTAAACGAGTCATAAGGCCCTTTTTAGGCAGAAGAAAATCTCCAGAGACTGATTCACTTTAAATTCCTTGATTGTCTATTTTAGAAAGGTAGTAATCATTTCCTGGATTTGTCTTTTTCCAGTGACTACAGAAGAAGCCAATACAAATGCTTTAGAAGAGATACCAACTTCCAAATTGCTAAAATTAAATGAGTCCCAGCTGCAGCTTGTTCTCCTCTAGAACAGACAATCGGACGTAAATTCTTCAAAGATTTAGGGCCTAACTCCCATTGATTTCTCATTGTGAGATTCTTTAAGCAGTTGACTTCAAGTAGAGTTACACACCTAAAGATAGAGAGTGAAAACATAGGGGCTAAAAAATACTGATAAAAATCTTACAAATCAGCCTATGACTAGGTAAGCAAATACAGCATTCACGCCCTTTTTCCTGTGGCAAAAATTTCCATCCCCACTGCAGAAAGGAACTTATTGAAGTTCAGGTACCATAATCCACCCACCCCAAGGAAGGGGAGCAGGGAAGAGCCAAAGACATTACTGTCTGGAAGAGACAGTGCTAGGCTCAACAGTGCACTCATTCAGATTCCCTTTTGGACCACTTCTTGATCTTTCTTACCACAAAATGTTTACTTATTTTAAAAGATAATTTAAAAACCCTCAACAAACTAAAACAACAGGTAGAACAGACCTGGCAGCTGTTTTATTACAGTAGCACCAGCCTGAAATTACATCTACTTATTTTTATTCAAATTGACAACATTTCAACTTGAGTGTTCCTTAATGACATAAAACTAAGTCTTATTTTTACCTCTTTGAAGTTACATCATTGTAGCTGTTGATTGTTTAATTGTCCTTCCAATCAAGCACTTAACTTCCTACTTAGCCCCACACAGGACATGACTTGAAGACATTAGCAGTCGTCACTAATGTGGATTGCCTTAGGATGTTTCACGTTTATTTGTAATGGAGGAAAACACTCACTGTTTGGATGAATTCTGTAAAAGCTGAACTTTTTCTGCCCTAGGCAAAGTTTTCAGAAAGAGTTCATATGGTTTTTCTGGTTGTAATCGGTGCATTCAAATTACGCATAATTTGGTTTTCATGGTTTCACTGTTGGATCACATAAAGTCAATTATAATTACTACCAAAAATAAATTTCTGTAATAACACTGTAGAGTTATGACATACTAGAGGGAGATTCACAATTACTAGGAAATTATTTAAGAATATTTTATTATTTTTCTCAAATGGAAATTAAATTGTAATGGTTAATCACAGGGTTTGAAACAAATAGTCATGAAGTCTTAGTCTTACTATAATCTAAAAGTAGTATCAATTGCAATACCAAATGGGCAGAAGCAAAGGAAGATAGAAAAGCTCTTCATTTAGAGTAATTTCCATGAAAAATATTCCATTATATTGGATATAATTATTGTTTACACACAATAAGAAGGTTTTGTGGCACTCTTTAGTAACTTCCAGACCAGTGTCTGAGGCAAAAATTGCTCCTGCCTATTGCAACATATTTCACATAGGCAAACAACCTGCACAAAAAGCATGTCCTGCTCCACTTTTGTTTTATAAGCAGGATGGGTCTCAGTGGTTCATCTCATCCTTCAGCTGTGGTTTTATAAAAAAAATTTTGTTAGCCTTAAGATTACTCTTTTTAGTGGACTAAATTGGTGAACCTCCAACAAGCAGTAATGATCTTGAGAGCATGAACTCTTCATTTCCTTCTCTCAGATAGCCCTAAACATCTTCTTCAACAATAAATAAAACTGAACTGTGAAAGTTTAGGAATAAATAGACAGGACATTAATTCTGCCAATGCTCCTACAGGGTCATTTACTGACAGGAAAGTAAATAGATGGGCCATTGGTTTTTATCTCACACTATCAGAAGTGAGATGGGTCAGAGTCTAAGCAATGTTATTCTGCTTTGCTTCTGCTTTTTGCTGCTGAACCCTATCCAAATCATTTACCCATGAAAAGTAGAAAATCTGAAATGAATACTAGACACAGATTTGGATTACAAGGTGATCCAGGAGTACACGGCAAGACTTTTAATTCCTGAGGTGGCCTTGGTGGATGAAATCACTTAGTATTTAGTAGATGTAACTGTTCAGTCCTTTTGACTTTCTGATGTTAATCCTGCAGATCTAACTACACATAACTATATACAACTATATGTAATTGTCTGATGTAATTACTTAAGATCCTTTTGCAAAATGAATAAAAACCCTGTAATTAGATAACCTTAATGTTATAAAAGATATTCCAATTTGAATTCAGAACACAAAATGTATAGTACCTTAATTAAGTTTTGCCTAATTTAGCAATAGGTAAATTATTGTTAATAATCTGCTAAACCCAGTCTGATTTAGGGTTGACCTTTTCTGGAAGTAGATTTCAGTGCGTTAATGATATGCAAAAAATCTTACTTAGACAGCTTCTGGGTGTGTCTTTTCCCTGAAGTGAATACATATTTTAAACAACATATGTTTGGACTTGAATCTGTAAACCTGTGTTTATCTGATTTAAAATAATCAGAGACTGAAAATGATACCATTAGAATCAAGCCATAACATCCAAAACAGTGGGCTATATCTCACTACACAATCTCCTGTCCTCCACTCCCAACTCATCCACAGGATTATGCTTGGTAGTGTTGTGGAGGAAACTAATCTTGTTAGCCAAAGAGAGAGCTTGAGGGTCTAGTTTTACAAGAATTTTTCTCTGCAGCCATCCTTCCCCCTCGTCATCATCATTCTCTCAGGCTGACCTGTATTCAGGCTGTCATGGAAAGGACCTGCCTTTGCATAACGATGAGTAAAGTCTCTTTCTTGTGCACTTACATGGAAAACTGGATGTGTGTGTGTGTGTGTGTGTGTGTGTGTGAATGTGTGGTGGTACTTTTTAAGGCATTTCAGTCAAATCAGTCCCCTAATCCTGGTGAATTTGCAGTTGTGCTCATGTCGATGCCAGGGAACAGTCACCAGAAGTTCCTTGCTACATGTGGAGATAACAGGGTAGATGAATGGGAGACCACTTATTTTGATACAAGCTTACTTTTAAGCTTATATAGTCCAGCCAGATTTGTGAAGGTGAGACTTGTATTTGCTTGTGTACAGCCACAGTGAATACTCAACCTAAAACCAATGATGAAGAGGCTCCTGGAACTGAGGGCTGCCAGAGCTTGCTATGTGCATATGAGGTGCAGAATCAGCCATTAAGACTTCTGAAGAGACTAAATCTTCCTGTGGGGAAAAAAGACTTTCTACCAAGGACCTGAAGTACATATATATGGATATAGAAGCATTGTAGGATTCATGCTATTGATTATTTTGAGAAAAGAAGCTGCAAAGACAAATGAACTAATTTTCGGAATTAATTTACCTTGCTTAACTTAAAACAGCTTCATATATTACCAGCAATAAATATGCATTAGGTTTTTCTAAGGACACAGTATTCCCTGACTGCATGAGTGGTTTTCAAAATTACAAAACCAGAAGTTCCTGCCCTTTTCATCTCTTTTTTTTTCTGCTTTTGTTTCTCAGATTCTCTCTTGTTCCATAGTTCACATGTGCACTGCATATATTATTGACTGCTATGATAAATTAAGTTCAAAATGCTTTATTTCTAATTTTTCTTTACCTTGAATGTTAAAAATGACAGCTTAATGACTCTCTTGCCACCTACTAGTGAATCACCACCCTTACCAACACTCAAGATAAGAAAAGCTCACTTTTCCCAGAAAAGTGAGGCCCTTTGCTTTGCACTCTGGGAACTATAATAAAAAGCTTAGTTACTTTAAATCTATTTTAATTTTTGTAGATCATTCAGTAATTACCTGGAGCAATATAAAGATCCTTCTCTTGAATTTTTCATTACTTTGCAAAATTAGCAAGCATATACCTTACACTTATATATACCTTACTTATATATATACATATATAACCTTTGTATACACACAACATGTTCAAGTGCCTCTGCATCTTGTTCCAGTTTCACTTGTTCCAGTGTGAAACAACTGGACAGCTATCACAAATGCTGGAACTTGAGAAAAGAAGCTTTCCCCCTGACCTCCATGGAAACAGGTACAGACTAATGATGGATAGCTTCAAAAATCCAAATTTGGCACTGTCCTGCTGTCTGTTTAGAACGGCTCAGTATTTCACAACTTTTGTTGATCTAATGTCACCTTAATGTTTTCCACAGGAAGACTGGAAAAGAAAGTGCAATACTGACATGCCAGTGGTACCAGGACAGTTTTTATTCACTTTAAATAATAATAACTTGCAAAGACATAGTAAGTAATTTCTATCCTGTATTTTGTTCCTTTACTTGTTTGCTTGCTTTTATATGTAGAAACAAGTGTGCTCCTGCAGCATTTGCCTGTTTTCCCATGGTAATTTCCTTAAGAAACACCAGTGGTCAATGGAGCACAAGCTGACAAAACACTGCACAGCTCTGCACACCCTATGCATCTGAAACACTCATGTTGACAGTGGCACATGAATGTTTGTACTTACTTAGGACTTGCCAGTCATGCAAACTCATGACCCCTAGCTAAAATGTAGTTTTGTTTCTTTAACAAAAATCCCCGTACCATGAGGTTTACATGGAAACAATAAAAAAACGGGATAAAGTTTCAGCCTTACAAATCTTGATACTGGAGCTGTCAAACTTATTGATGCTTATTGATGAGGTTCACTGTGTCTTAAGATGTCTGCCGTCTTTCAGGTGTACATGTAAAAGTGGGAGGGGAAGCAGTGTTTGTGAGTAATTTGATGACTGCTGCTGCAGAGCATGGGGGCGCGAAGCCTTCAGTAATTGAATCCGTTGCAGGGTGTGGGCTTACATATGGAACTTGAACAATAGGTATTTTCTTAAATTACATCAATTACCTCAGAGATGTGGAATCTGTATGTCCTGCCCACTTCCCTGAACCTTTGGAGCCGGGATCCTGTGGGGAACATAATGGGCTTAATTACGGTGTCTGGACTAGCCATGTAGGACCCGGAAGGCAGGAGTTAACCTCACCTCACCTTTTACATGTCAGTGACCCCAGGCTTGACTGGGACGCCGTTGGGGCCTCTGGAGCAGCTTCTGGATTACCACAACACACGCTACCTGGTGTGATGGCCAAGGGAAACCCCGCGGGACCGCGGCCATGGCGCCCGTGCCTTCTCACCTCGGCCCGGGCGTGGTGGGTGACGCACAGGGCACATATGGCCCGCT